AAATTTTATTATCTGAGAATTATTTTGTGCATTAAATTGAATGAACATGGTCTGGATAGCCCACAGACATACCATAAAAATTTCCAGGACCCATAATTGGTCTCCTTTAAGCACTGGCAGGATTATCCACCCSAGCCTCTTTTCAGTCTGACTGTTGTGTTTGGTAGATTTTTTATTTGTTGAAACCATGCTTTTTGGCAATAAATCTTTTTATTGGCAGCACCTGCAAAAGCTGGTGTCAGTAGCAACAACAAAATGAGCTGTTTTGCAGCTCTACTACTYATCCYACAAATGCATGTTCCTTACAAATGTGGCACTATTTAAAAGGGAAATTAACAGGCTTTCCAGTAATATAAGATTTATTTCCAAGAAGCATGGCTACAACAAAGAAATAATCTACTAAACACTAGTTTCCTTACTTTTTGTGCTAAGTTTATAAAAATAGTTAGCACAAGTTTGAACCACGTATATTCCTTACTTAAAATATCATTAATCTAGGAAAATAAGTTTGAATTTTGTTTTCATTTGTTTCTCGTCTTGTCTTTTGTTTGAATTAGAAACCTTGCTCCCGTGTTGGATGGCCTGGTTCACATGATTCAAGAGGAGGAATCAGTAAGTATCTGATTCCTTGGTTTTTATTTTTCTTTGTCAGCAGAACTAAAGTTAATTACAGAAAAGATGTTCAGTCAGATAATCAATGTTTTCAGTCAGCACCTACACGACTGCAGAAAATCTCTGGGCTTGTACCGGTACAGTTTCTCAACACATATCAGTAACATTAAAGTGATACCATGAGCAAACAGAAAGGCGTGTAAACAGTTTGTATACTGAGCGTTAGCTGCTGTCGTGATGCTCACATTTTCTATGTGGCGATCCCTGTCTGTTCTGAGAATTCAAGACCTGCTCATGGTTTAKTTGTCAAGTCCTTCATGTCTCCCTATCCATCTTCTTCATGTTATCTCTCTGTAATGGGGGCTGTAACAAGTTTCACTCTGGTGTCTGCCCTCCTTTCTCTCCCACAGCGACAGATGTGATAGATTAATGATGCTGCTGAGAGCTGGATCGCTCTCTCGGTGTTTGTGTGTGTGTGTGAGTAAGGTGGGGGCACATCTTTAAGCTGACAGTGCAGGTGCACACTGACACACAAAGACTAGGTGAAGAAACTGTAGCTGGTAAAAAGATGCTCATGAGAGAAAGCAATAAATAAACAGATAAGGAGGAAAGTTGGCCGACTGTAATTTTTTTTCTTGGCAGAGAGCAGATTATTGTGATGACCAAAATACTATGATTATTGTGATGACCAAAATACTATAATGTTCTTATTTTGTGTGTGTGTGCTTGTATTTGTAACCGTAACTTGTATTTGTAATGGTTTCTGGTACACACACCTACCTTGTCAAGACCAGTAGTCCTTATGGGGACCAAAGACTGGTCCTAATATGGTGTAACCCCATTTTTGGGTTGGGGGTTAAGTTTAGGACTAAGGTGTAAATTAATTTTAGGTTAGCTTTAGGTAAAGCGGTCAGAGTTAGGCTTTAGAAACAACTGGAAGTGAATGGAAGTTAATGAACGGTCCTAATAAGGACATGATACAAACGTGCATGTGTGTGACCTTGTTTTTGCTACTTGGTGGGGACGATTTTTCAGGAAAATGCAGCCTCGTGTGGACAAAAGCCTGGTCCCCACGACTTCGGAGGCTGATTTTGAGTGGGGGTGGGGGGGCTTCAGGACAAAGGTGTGAAATGAGTTTAGGTTAGTTTTAGGGTCAGGTACCTGTGAGGTTAATTTTAGGGTAAATGGTCAGGGTTTGGATATAACATTTCCAAAAAAATGAATGGAAGTCAATGGAATGTCCCCACAAGTATAGAGAGACATAGTAGGTGTGTGTGTGTTGGGTGGGTAGATGGAGTGTGTAACGTGTCTCCTGGGTATCTCACAACTAGAACTGACAGGTAAGTGAAGCCGCGTTGAGATAAGTTTCTCTATCTTCCTTTTTAGCAAGTTCAGCAGGAAAACCCACCAGCCCAACGTCAGACACTGCTCAGCTGAGTTTTTAATTTGTGTGTTTGTGTGTGTTTGTGTGGGCAGTTACATACAGGTTTACCTCCATGTTGCCAGTGGCACTTTGTTTTGTTCAGGTGTGTTTGAGTGTAGTTGATGGATTCAGTACGCACTCAGCCTGAGACAGGTGGAATAACATCAAACGCTGCTATTCCACTCATTTGGTCACAACAATAGAAACAAAAGTGTATGTGTCTATTAATGAATGGTACTGGCCAAGTATTGAGTCATCCCACAGTTTTCACACTTTGAATGAAATAAACTTGCTTGTAAAAATTTAATTGGTTGATTGATGATGGCTTTATTCAGAGCACAATGAAATTACATTTAAGAACACCCATTCAAGAAGACACACACRACAAAAAYGTGGGGGAACTGGTGAACAGGTCATGCGGCAACAAGYAGGGGTCGCGCTACTTTTAAAAATAAAAAAATAAAACCAGAAAGGTGAAAGGTGAAATTTAAAGTGGTCTTGGTCAGCATTGCTTCAGGATTTCTGCAGATCTTTCCCTTTTTTTTAACTTGGGTTGTTTTGTATTCATGTTCTGTCCAGGCACCTTAATAAAGAACAAATTCTAAAAGTAAATAAGTAAATCTTTATTTATATAGCACCTTTTTAATATATAAATTACACAGTGCAACAGCAAATACAAAAAGCAAATTAAAACAAAAACAGATTAAATACGATATATTTTTAGTTGTCCTTYAAAGAAGGCTGCTGAGTCTGCTGATGTGAGAGTCAGAGGAAGGGGAGTCGCAAGGTTTCTATCCAAAATCTTTACTCACCTACTGCCTTGAGAGACAAAGTTTTAAAGGTTTAATGGAATCAAATCATATAAATGCTAAATGTATTATATTCATAAAGTACCTTTCTGTCCAAGCAAGACACTAAAAATGCTTTAACATCTGTGCCCTCATTCACCCATCCACACAGCACTCCAGCAAAATTAATCTAGRTAAATCCTTCTATAGACTAATCAGTACTTTAAATCACACTGATGGGACTTGTCCTGCATTATAAAAAGGCTGTAAACGTACAAACAGTCCTTCCTAACAATGTGTTTTACTCCGTTATCTTTATTCGACCCACTCKGAAAAATGTTTTCTTCTTTCATTTCCCCTTTTCGTCCCCCCTCCCAGCCCCTCACCTCCCTGTCTCTCGCAGACTCCAGACTCAAAAGCGACCTGACCATCGTTCTCAACGCCCTCGGCAGCAACTCTTCGCTCACCAAGCTTGACATCAGCGGGAACGCCATGGGGGACATGGGGGCTAAGATGCTTGC